TATATATATATATATATATATATATATATATATATATATATATATAACATATAACATTTGCTACACGAGGTCCAATCACATAGGTATAATGGTATATATTGAGCTGTACCAGACTGGCGTCTAAATGACCTTTGAAATCCAAGCACCTAAGAGGATACTCATACAATGGAGATAGAAGACGCGAAAGAATCCTCACCAATACAATTCCTTGGCCCAAGTCCAAACGGCATATAGGTGAATGGCTGGATCTTATGTTTATTCTCTTCAGAAAACCTCTCAGGGTCGAACTTGTTCGGGTTCGGATAATATATAGGGTCGCGATGGATCGACCATAGAGGGATCTGGAGACCGTCACCTTTGCGGATCTAGATAGAGAAAAGAAAATTATATAATCAAAAGCAAAGTGCAAAAGGTCTTCAACAGAAAAGTACAAGGGATTCCAGCTTTTTGGTTGAAATTTGTGTTTATACAATGTAATTAACATTAAACTGGCTTAAACATTTTCTTAAAACGATGCAATAAGAAAATCATATCAAAATCAATTTTACGACTCACAAATTACAGGTCCAAAACCAAATAGTTGGTTAGGGGATCCAGGTGTCTTTGTATTTATATTTGATCCAGGTGTATTGACTGTACACGGTAGGCGTAGTCTAACAGTTATAAATAAAAAAAAAGTGGTGGAAAACTGGTGCTCAAACTACGTTAGACACCCGTTTACAATTACTGGTTTTCAACGAAGATGCATATAATAATGTTATTGTTGTAATCTGCTAACCATTTTATCTTCACAAATAAGCAGACATCATCGTTCTTACTCGTTCTGCTTAAGGGAATTGGCCTTGTGAATAAGCAATGGGTCCATGACATTCGGACGATTTATAGTACAATTTGTTTAGCCGTTAAATAAGGACAAGTTACATTAGAACACTTACAATGAAGTCCTCCGTAGCTTTGTCATTAGGTTTGCCCAAGTTGTAATCTTTGGTACAGCATCTGTCCATGCCAACGGCAGGCATCCACAGCCTCAATGTTTCTGAAATACAAAATATTTCATTTAAGTTACTTCGAATATTCGATGTACTTACATGATTAGTTTTTATAACCGAAACCTCACACCTCCATTTCAATCGTTGAATTTTTTACGGCTCTCAAAAATTTACACACTGTTTTGGATTGAACAACTGATGATAATTTGAGGAGAAGTCAATTTTTCTTTCGAGTATTTGGAGTGGTCAACAAAAGTTGTTTGTTTTAATAATAGGGATGCCATATTAGTAGGTTTCAGGTTAATTAAAAAGACCCTTTTGTAAACTTTTCAGAATGAACATGATCATTGGCATAATTATTGATACAAAGATCGAACAAGCACAAAGAAAAGCTCCTTCGATCCTACTTGATTCGAACCTGCATCTGTTGCCACAGCTTGGCTGCCACTTTTACCAGTCGATACCTCTTTACAGTCTCTGGTAGCTGTAAACGTGGCTGAGTGAAGCAACTTTCATAAGATTCTCACAAATGGCGCTATGGCAAAACGACATTTAAACACAATTCATATATTTGCAACGAGCACAGAGAAATTCGTAATATCTGCAGATTTGATTTGTAGTCTCAGTACTCATTTGGTAAGAGTAGTAGCCAGGTTGAGGCAACAGACGCTAGTTAGAGTTAGGCCGAGGCGAAGAAGCTTTTTTGTGTTTGTTCAATCTTTGTATGAATAATAAATGGAGTAGTTTCACAAAAATTATATATGAATGTTACGATAGTAAAACATTATGATATTGATCAAAATAAACGTTATCTTTGATAATGAGTAAGTAGGTACGGTATTCAGTATTAACGATGAAGAAATGTTTTTTAATCAAATTAAATAACAGTATACTGTGACACGTTATCAAATAGTACAGGATAACGCAGTAAGATCGACAATTTTCCTCACATTGCAATTTTTGTAAAGAATTTTTCTTTTCACACCCGTACCTGATACTACCATGTCCATATAAACCATATTCTGTATAGAATTATAGTCAAATTGCCCGTTGTTCTTAGCTTCGTTCTCTTTAATTTCCTGGTACAGTTTATCTTGCACGTCAGGGTTGATAGCCAGCTCGTACAGCAGGAACGACAGGGCTGTAGATACGCTCTCGAAGCCCGCTATGAAGAACAGGACGGCTTGGGCACATAGGTCATCATCGGACCATACTGGAGAAAACAATAATTACAAATAATTTAAGAAATCACACAATATTCAATCACACAATTCCTTAACGTGTATGTCATAGTACATATCGTTATTGTTTTTACGGTCTCTATTCTAATGATTACCAACGATATTTTAAAGCAATACTAGTTACAATACGTCTTTGAGTTTTTAAAATTGTACCTATTTGCATTAACATACCCCTATTGATTTGCTTCTGGCCAAGTAATGATTCTTCAACTGTGGCATAACCAGCGCCCTTGTCCTGCGTTGATTTCTCATCGTGAACAAGTTTTCCTGGTTAAAATTAAAAGAAAATTTGTACGAACAGCATACCATAAAAAAGAAATTAAAAATACTCTAACTAATATGCAATATAATAAAAAGAAAATTAATAATAACATATAAACATAACAAACATGTTATCAATACAGATGATCAATTGTAAAATACTAAAAACCTCGCAGAACTATATTACTAACATCATAAATAACAACGTTTGTTCCATGTCTTTTTACAGGATATAATAAATTTACCAAAAATAAGGTTTTAATTTTTTGTTGTACTATCTGCACTTTTTAGATCTGCATTTGGTAGTAAATTCGAACGTGCAAGTGTCTTCCCCGATGACGTAGCAGCGTTGGCATCGAAGGTGGTTAAACTAATGTCTATAATTTGGAACGCATTCATGTTATGTAAAATATGAATGATAAATTAAGTAGATTTGAAGATTCTACAATGAATCCTGACTTACTTACTAAACGCTGTGTCATTTGTATTCCAACTGTAAGCTATCATAATCGTGCAGGTGGTGCCACGAATAAGTAGATTTAGAATTAAAACTAATTTCGCGAAAAGGGTTTAAATAAAAGTCATTCAAGTCAAGCGTCAAGGCCTAACGACTATCGAGCGAGGGGGGATAACAAACATGTGGTAAAAAGTGGAAACCAGACAAGTTTATACTTGTCTCCTGATGACATCATGAAATATGAGTAGGCAGCCGACATTGACAAACCATTGTCTTCTTATCATTCATAAAATAAACAGAAATCTAATGCAGTAAAGTCGAATTTAACATTCTGTACTCTTTTTTCATTCTATATTTTTTAGACTTTGATTTTAATACCTAATTATAAATAAATGGGTCAATAACGCATTAAATTAAGTATGTTGCAAGTCGCAATATCGAATCCTGTTTTTTTTCCCAAGAAATATCTTTGCGGACAATGCTTAGTTGTATAAAGTTATTTATTTATGACCAAGGTAGCTGCCAGGTCTTGGATATCTTTTCGGTTCTTGTGCATTTCAAAGTATTCTATTTCTACTTTGTTAATTATCTCGTACAACTTAGCTGGCGACAGCTATTTATTAACAATCAAAA